TCCTACTTCCCCNCGTTCGGTGCCCTTAGCCCTACCCCTACGACCTACATTTCATGCTTGTTTTTATCTCAAAGACCATGTTTGTTTTCTTGGGTATTTTGAAATTCAATTAAAAATGGGTATGGTTTGCATAAAGTTGCAACTTTAAACAATCCAATTGAGGCGTACCCCCAAATTTTATCATAACATGTAATTTTGTTGTAAAACATTCTTAGGATTATCTGAAAATTTATTTTCATCTCTAATTATAAAATTTTGAACTCCAAAAATGGTTAAAATCAAGTAGATATATAAGCATGAGAAAATCTTGAAAATGGATGGTCCTTAATATGTTGCAAAATACACTATTTCTGGAACTCAAAATCCTCCATTCTTTTTTTCTTTTTTTTTCATATTCATACATCTCGATGTCGAGATGATCAATTAGATGACTTTTCAATTAAAACAACCTTTTTCGAAGGATTTTTTAGTGCATCTTTAATTCTACATTTTAAGGTTCCAACATTATATAAACTTTTCCCATTAAAAATATAGGTAAAGCCTAAAATTATTCGTCTTTTTATGATAATTTTGATAAATTTTTATCTCTCTCTCATATTGGTGTCTATGTGTGCCCCTCGGGAGATTGATGATGTAGGTATTAGAATGAAGAACAAACCAGATGAAAGCAATAAATTTTATATCGCCTGAGTAGAGGGACTTACGAGATTGACACCTTATCGCACCCGACCAACTTTGTTGCGTCTGAGTATACTCGCCGAAGATGACAAACCCTACAGTTAGCAAATAAAAAATTTGTAATAATATATAAAGTTTTAAATAGAGAAATAGAAAAATAGGGATAAGAAAAAGAAACGAGAAATATATAAAAAATGTTATAATGACAGCTTTGCATACTGTGCACTGTGACAATGCACTTATCGGCCGATCTTTAGAACAAATCGCTAATTAGTGCACTAATCGACTGATTAGTCGGCCGATTAGTGCACTGGAAAAAAAAAATTCCTCCATACATGATCATTGGAATCGGGCCACATTAGTTGGCCAACCTTTTAAACACTGCAATATACAATCCAACATAAACATATTATACTCTCGCAAAAAACATCACGCATTTTCCTTTAGATTCGAGGGTTCATTAATTTGAGAGGGATAGGTGGACGGTAGAAAAGGCCGCAATCCTTTTCACATAAACTAGAATTTAAAAATATGTATTTTTGGAAACTCATTGTAGTTTAGTAGTAGGATGATCTACATAAATGAATTTGATTCCCAATTCTAGTTTTGCTTTAGCTGAATCGCAATTCAAAAGGAAGCCGAACTTCATCTTAGAAATCTCTAATTTTTTTTTTTTGGGTAATTCAGTAGGGGAAGACAATCCCTACTTGTTATTTTAAGTAGTTTTGATTAGGGTGTGAGGGTACTACCACTACAAACCCAACCCATTTCCCTAAAAATCTCTAAAACGATCAATTGTTTGAATTCCAAATCCAATGCAGAAGAAAAATTTATATGCTACTGTAGTTTAGCTAAGATTTTAATACAAACTAGCCATCAACTTTTAACTTGGTGAATATTGCTGTGGGAAAATATATTGTAGATCGTGTGATTGATAGTTTATCGTGTGATGGACTTGGGCAATGGAGTCGACTTGATGTCAGCTTTATAGTTGATGCTTCTCTTAGCTAGAATGATTATTCAACTCTACTACTCAAACATATGCATGGACATAGGCTCTAAACAATCTAATTAGAGCCCAAATAGTATCAAGAAATGTGGTTTCAATATTGAAAATCTATGTGACAGTTTTAGAATATATTTTTATACTTATCTAAAAAGTTTTAAGCTTCAAAAATAGTGTATATTGATATATCTATGAAAACTTGAAAATCTTGAATATTGACGGTCTAAAAATATGTTACAAAATACACTATTTTCAAAACTTGCAATCCATTTTTTTTCTCATGTCCATGCATCTTGATGTCAAGATGATCAATTTGAAGATATTTGAGCATCAAAACAACATCTTCTGGTGAAATTTTTCAGGTAGTCTCTAATTTGATTGCTTAGAGCCTCGGCTCTATATAAACTTTTCCCTTTACTATATCAGTACAATATTGTACTCCTAAACATGGGTCTCATTTGATGCATATATCTTGTATGATTTCCATCCATGTGATTATGAAGCCATTGGGTTTTAGATCTTCCGCACACAACAAATGGTCTTATAGTGATGAACAAATCCCAATGATGGCACATATCATAAGAACATACTAAATCAAGAACCTACGAGTATTTAGAAGAGTCACAATTTGTCAAAATTGATGACACATTATCCGTTGTATTTTCCTATATGAGAAATAGATTAACAGATATGAGTTTATAGGATTAGCTTTTGGAAAAGTATATAATAAGACAAGGAGGTCACAACTCATTCAAATGTGAAATTGGCTGGTGGGGTGTGCCATTGATTATGGACAAAGTTCAAAATAAATTTTTTTAACTTTTGATACATATCAAACAATTGAATTTTACATCTAATGGCTAGGAGTGATTGTGACATCCTTGTATAAAAAATAAATGATCTTACGTAT